TTATAGTCGATATTAGGCAGAACTTTTCCCTGTGATGGTGGCGAGACACTGTCCCAGGTTGCCCAGGGAGGCTTTGGCTGCCCCAGCCCTGGCAGTGTTCACAGCCAGGTTGGATGAGCCTTGAGCAACCTGCTCTGGTGGGAGGTGTCCCTGCCCAGGGTGATCTCTGAGCTCCATCCCAACCCTTTACAAGCTATGATGCTATGATTCTGTGATTCTAGAAGCAAAGGCTGATGATACAATGTGTTTATAGACAACATTTGCTCTCTTTTCTCTTAGGGGATGCGACAACCACAAATGAGGTTATTAACCAGTTACTGCACCATGTTGGTGCCATGTGTATCCACCAACTGAACCTCCTGGCAGCCAGCAACAACCTGCCCATAACAAACTTCCTGGGCAAGCAGCACCCGATCGAGGCTCATCACCTCAGCAGCATCTGCGACATCATGGAGAAGGCCATGGTCAATGGGGACACCTGCATCATCCGCTGCATCCTCGTGGTCTTTCAGGTACCAGCACCCTTGGGGGGGACAGGTTTGCCTCTTCCCATTTTCCCTATGCCTTTTTCCTTTTCCCCTTGACTTCTTTTTTTTTTTTTTCCCTACCCCACTCTGAGTGACTCAGACTTCCATCATCCCAGACAAACAGTTAGGGGAAGTGAGTGCAGCACAGGAGTTCATGTGATGAATTTCTGGTTTTCACACAGACATTCCTGTGTTTACCTCTCCTCAGGTGGTGTTTAAGTTCTTCTTCAGCCCCCAGAGTGAGAGGAACAGAGACATTGTCAGGAGGTCAGGCCTCTTGCTCTGGCAGCTCCTCATGGCCCCACGGGATCAGATCTGCTCAGAAATCCAGAAGGAGGTTTGCCTGGCTATTAGGTAAAGATCTCTTCTAGCAAATCCAACTCCATTTGCATCTTAGTTTGTTTGAACTGTTGTGAGAGATGAGTGTTCCAATTGTATTTGGCAATTCCAGTTGTATTTAGCAGTTTAAATTGACATGATGAAATTTAGTCTGATAAATCTGGGGACAGGGTAGGACAAAATGGTGACACCTTGTGTGTGTGCAAGAAGAGAAGTTTAATGTGTTTGCTTTGATGAAACAACAGGTTGGAATTGCTTTCCATACTTTTAATTTGTTGCTTTTTTATTGGCTTTTCTTCAGGATTTTTTCCATGTTTACTATAAACCAGTTGCTAAATTCAATGTATGTCCCATTGTTCTTGTCACACTGAGCCACAGCTCTTAGCCCATCACCAGAGGTGTTGGAGTTCTCTCATCCATTTTTCCTGACACCTCTGTTTCCTAAGTAATGATTGTGCTGTCATATATACAAGTGATTAATGGGGAGTTTCTCAGGGGGAAGCAAACAGCTCTTTAAGCAGCTTTGGGATGTAAACAATAAAACTGTGTGTTCTGGAGAAAACAATTGTTATTTCCTGACTAATCTCCCTGTTAAAACATGGAGTTTGCCTTTCTAAGCTGGAAGAAGCTATTCCATATCATTCTAGATGTTACCTCAGATGCTAAGCTGAGAGTCTGTGGTGCCATTGAAACTATTTTGTTCCTTTCAAATCCCTGAAGTAATCCATGGTTTTATTCTCTCTTTAGCTCTGGTTTGAATATCCTGTACCCTGGGGAAGCAGAAATCAATAACCTACTGAAATTGGTCCTAACTGAAGGTGAGAATATCTCAGTGACACACCAGAGTGGTTTTTGCTAATTGAAAACAGAAAGTAAAGCACTTCTCAAGCTCTGGAGGGAGAACAGTTCATGATATGGAGCTCTAGTCTGCTTTAAATCCATCCCATTCTAGGAAATCATGGAATGCTTCAGCTCCTGCAGCAGCTGAACCTGAACCTTAATCTGTTTGGCCAAGGGCAGGTTAGAGGGAAAGGTGCCCAGAGGTGGTATTAGTGGAGGAGTAATGACCTACCTGCCTTCCCCAGGGAATGGGAGACTAGATTGGGAGCAGCTGATGCTCAGGATTTAGTACTTCATGGGAAAGTGTTCATGCAGCCCAGTGTGTGGAGTTCAGGCAGAGCCATGTGCAGGAAAGTGTTCCCAGTCTGACACCACCTGGGGTACACTGTAACAGGCACTGCTGAGCTGCTCTGTGTGTAAGGCAGGAGGTCAGGGGAGCAGAACTGAACAGGCTCTGCAGGATGCTGCTCTGCAAAGGCTTCTGCTCTCCCTTGCAGGGGAGAGGAACAGTGGCCTCTCTCAGCTCCGTGATGTCATCCTGACCAACCTCGCTGAGCAGCTGCAGAACAACAGGTTTGGGAGTGAAGAGGATGATCATTACAGGTAAAAACCCTCCCAGATTATCATCTCTGGTAGTTGCTTTAGGTATGAACCTCTGCCTGTTCTTCCTGCAGTGTGAGTGAGCTGCTGGCTGTGTCTGGGGGGGTGGAATCCAGGAGGGAGAGGTTTGACATGTTAAGGCAAACTTAGGAGAATTCCATACACAGCCTAAGTTTGAGATTCCCTGCTGCTTCCCATGCTCCTGGGACATGGGGATACCTTCATAAGTGGGATTTTATGGTATTACTCTCCATTAAGTGCCTTTTCAGCAGCAAAACTACCAATTTCCATACCTGTTCAGGTTGGGAGGTGTCTTTGTTTTGAGGAGTTATGAGTAATGTTAGTAGCAGATTTCTACCAGCAGTGCAGGAAATCCCTGAAAATGTCTTGCAGTGGCTGTTGTTAAGCATGTCTTTGGTTTTCTCTGGGTGTGAGTGTTGTGAGCAGACACTTGTTCTGGTCTCACACTGTGTGGTGCAGCTCACACAGACTGTCCAGAGCACACACTAATGAGCCTGTTGCTGTTTTGCCCCTTTGCTGCCTCCCTGAAGACTCAATGATGAGCTGCTGCACTACATTCTCAAGATTGTTGTCCGAGAATCTTGTGTCTTAATCACCAAGTGCCAAACTGTATCTAAAGATGATTTTCAAAGGCTTCTTTCAACTGTGCCTGTAAGTAAAATGTGTTTTCATAAAAGT